AGGCCTTCAGCAACCCTAAGACAGAGTCCCAGCATGAAATGTTGCCTGGAATTCCTGCCTAACGGATTGAGGATTGGCCTGTTTTCACTTTCTGTGAATGCAGGGGTAATGCTGTGATACTATTGTGTAACCAAGGTACTACCTCTTTCAAGTATGGTTGGGAAAGACCAGTACAAATTGAGAAGCCTAGAAGGAACCCCTCTCAAAGCTGGAGAGACAGCCTGGACTGTAGCTTCCCAAGGTAACATGACCACACGCACACTGGGATGAGACCCTTCTGACTAAGATGAGCCGAAGAAGAAAATTGAAGAGAATTCTATTAACCTAAGTATTTGGGACTTGGAATTTTTCCTACAGGAAAAGACTGGGGTTTTTTTTCTTTAATTTTATTTTCTCCCACAGAACTTAATAATGAAACAGACTATTTCTCTAAATTTTGTACATCTTTATTTTTCTCATCTGGAAAGTACAGATGATCTTTATGTTACCATTTAGGTGCACTGCAGCCTCTGGTTATCTATATTGGACAACATATATGCGAGAAACTGAAGAGTAGGAAATAGAACAGGAAAGCAAATTTTGAGCTTTAGTTATAAAACCTCCTTAGAGATAATTTATTAAATGTAATATCATGAGTCATTTCCAAGCCTTCTGGGAGCAGAGTCTAAATGTCCCACTGTGATTCCAGAAGGATCTGCGAAGAGGTAGGGGTTGTTATTTGCAGAATGACTTCACGAAGGTGGGAAAGAACTTCTCCACTGGCAGCTGACTTCCTCCCCCAAGGGGCTCAGGCACACTCTTGCCTGACCACAGCCCCCAATAGATAAGGCCAATAGCACAGTAGGGCAAGAACTGTGACAATACTTGGTCCCCACTCCTACTGTCCTCTGTGCAGGGATTTCAGTGACACGCCTCTGCTGGCTTCACTCCCTACCTCCCTGTGTCATCCTCCTGAGAGGGTAGGGATGAGTTCATGAGTTTGGAAGAAGGAACTGAGTATGCTAAGCTTAGCCCCTGTCTCTTTTCTCTTAGGGAGTATCCCTCAGGTCTGAGCTCTGTCACAAGGTAGGTGCTTGTCCTTTAGGTGAGGCCTGAGGTTGACCAGCTGTGCCTAGGACAGGGAGGGGAAATTTAGCTGTGAGATAAAGTTTTAACTAGTTTGCTTAGCCACAGAGCAAAAGCTACATTCCCTAATCAGTTTTATTAGAATAAAGGTGCTATTTTAAACTAAAATCAAAAGTAATTGATGGAATGAAAAGATAAATGAATATAACATCTACCCACATGAAGCTGAGTCAAGGACTCAAAGGTACAGGTGAGAGTCAATTTATTCAATAGAGAGTCCCTTAGAAGTCATTTTAAAGTAAATCAATTTTTATAAGTTAAGTCTTCTCTTACCTCCCACATAGCTAATCCTTTATTCCCAGATAGATTAATCATCAATGTTCATTAATTTCCTATTGGTGGCTCCTGACATTTAAGCCTTAAATTTTTCCATACTCACCAAGTAGTTAAATTATCTTAACAAACAATTCGTTAGGTGACTGGGGGCGGGCTCTTTAGCAAAGCATGCTGTGAGCTCTTAAGGGAGAGCAAGTCTTTAGTGAATAAAGCAGTTGACTTAGTCAGAAGAGTGCCACCGATTACTCATGGGCTGTCTCATTTCACCCTCACAACAAGCCACTTAGAGGTGGGGAGATGAAGTAACTTGCCCAAGTTGTCATATCCAGTAAGTAGCACTGTCAGGGTCTGAACCTTGATATGCCTCCAAACCCCCCACTCAGTCCACTATCCCACAACACCTACATTCATAGAAATCCATACCCAAGATTGGAAGAAGTCTTGCAAACACTTGTCTACTGTTGATGTCCTCCAGGGCATGACTTGTCTTGTCTCAGGGATGGGGAGTTCCTAAGGTGGCCCCTTCCATTGCAGGGCAGAGTTATTGTTCCCCAATTCCTTTTTACATAGAATGTCCTATAGATTTGGCCTGTTGGCCTAGGGTCCTTTTTCCTTTCAGGTCCCCAAAACACAGGACTATGGAGGGAGCAGAGTGCCCATCCTTAGATTAAACATCCTCTCCTCCTCCAACTATTTCCCACATATCTTGATCTTCAGCCTGGCCCCCATCCTTTTAGAAGTCTCCTCGGAGCCCAATCATTGCCAGTGATACATCTGGGGTCTGGAATTGGACACAACATTCCAGGATGCAGGAGACCAGTGCAGAGTCGTGTGCTAGATTATCACTGCCCTCCTTGTAAGCATTGTTCTATCATGTATTATTTCTGTGTGTGATGGGGGTAGGGGTGGGGGCCAGGAAGAGCACTGTTCCTCTGCTCGAGAGCCTCCACAGTACAAACAATGCTTTTACCAAATTGCACTTCCTGAAACGCCAGCATCCCAGAGTAAGTGAACAAGTGCTTTAAGAATAAAAACGATTTGGGGTGCCTGGGTGGCTCAGTCGGTTAAGCGTCCAACTTCGGCTCAGGTCATGATCTCACGGTTCATGGGTTCAAACCCCGCATCGGGCCCTGTGCTGACAGCTCGGAGCCTGGAGCCTACTTCAGATTCTGTCTCCCTCTCTCTCTGCCCCTCCCCTGCTCGTGCTGTCTCTCTCTGTGTCTCAAAAATAAATAAATGGAAAAAAAATTTTTTTAAAGAGTAAAAAGGATTTGTTGCGTCCACATAAGTTTGGAATATACTGCTTCATATCCATTCATTAATAAATCCTTATTGAGAGCCTACTGGATAAGAGGTACTATTCTCGTCACTAGATGTATATCCATGAACAAAACAAACCCAAATCTCTGTCTATGGAAGCTACAGATCAGACAAGAAATACCATGAATGTGTGAAGACCTTTTAGAAGACTTCCTCAATCTAAGGACATAGGCTTAATTCCCTTTATGTCAAGACACCCCCAATATAGGATCCTGCTATAATTATTAACATCCTAGGGAACCGTACTGGGTCACAAATTTGGGAAACACACACTTATACCACTGAACACAAATCACCTTGCCTTCAGCCAGTATATCTCCTTATGTCACTACCGTCCTGTATGGGAACATTCTAATGTAAAAAGAAGCTAAAGATCAGCCAAAAAATATTATAAGCACAGCAAGCCCAACCCATAGGAGGGCTCAGAGGACCCCACAGAGCATGTGAGGAGGAAAAGGGGCTTATCAGGAAGCTAACAAATATGCAGAGGAATGCAGGACAGATGAGGAGAGGGAAGCCAGTGAGGGACCGAATTCTGAGAGAGGAGCTGTGGATTGGGCTCAGCTCCCAGGCAAAAAGCACCAGTAACCCAGGTAGTCAGACCTGGGGATGGGCAGGATTTAGCCATGGAAGCAGAAGGACCAGATTAGGAATTCAACTGCAAACAAAATCAGGATGAGGAAAAAACCAGAATGGATCCAGCACCCCCAGGAAATCAGCTACATAGTACACAAGGTCCAGGTTCCTGACAGCCCAGGGAGCTCCCCCCAGGATTCTGACACCAGACCACAGAAAAGACACCCTCCCCCTTTGCCTCCTGGTAGAATGACTGCTTCCAAACCCCCCTGGCTACCTTTTACACTCCAACATAACTCTTCAGTTTTAGCCCTTTTCTTTAACCCTGGTACTGCCAGGCAAAAGGACACAAAAGTAGCAAAAAAGGCATCATAGGCACCTGCAGCCCTGCTCAAAAATTCCTCCAGGCTCCCCTCCTCCCCACTACGACCTTCCATATCCTCGCTCATCGCTCCCTTGACGTTTTCACCCACTTTGGCCCCATGTTCCCATGTTCCACAGGGTCCCTCTGGAACTCGAGAACTCAGTTTGGAATGCCGGCCCCAGCTGGCACCACCCTCTGCCCCTGTACATGACGGTCAGCATCTGCACATCGACTTCAAGCGTCAGCCCCAGCACCCCATCTTTCCCCTCATCCCAGGCTCCTCGGACAGAGTGGCCTTTGCAGACTCTCTGGGTTGGGAGGGTCAGAATGCCTGGGGCCAGCTCCTCTGATCAGCAGGTGAGCCAGGTTGGAAGAACCTGTACCCTGTGCAAAATGAGCCAGACACACAGGAGAGAGAAAAAGGAAGCCTCTGGGCTCCGTAGAGAGGCTGAGTTTAGAGAGAAGCTGATATGGGAAGGGACTTGCTATTTGTGGAAGGCTTTTATTTGGTGGTGGGAAAAGAATGGCAAATATGTAACACAATATTTCTGTAACTATAAATAACATGTAAATACCTTTCATAATGAAAACCGTATGCAATCTGCTTTTCTGGGAGACTTTTACAATAGGAAAAGGCAAGAGAGGGAAATAACATATATTTAACTCACACTATGTGCTAAGCTCTTTCCATATGTCATTTGCTTAATCCTCTCCTTTTACTTCTGACGGGGTTGAGGGGGGGTTCACTTTATATATGAAGGAAATGAGGACTTTTAGAGGTTCAGGAACTTGGCCAAGGTCTCACTGTGAACCACAGTTTGCAAGTAGATCTGTCTGATTCCAAAGCCCTCGTTTTTCTAGAATCAAGCAGGAGCCTGACTAAAGGTAGGGGCTGGACTATATGACCTTTCCAGATTCTCTTCTATTTCCAGGACGTCTGGAATTGGCTAATTCCCTGCAGGTGCCCTAAGTCTTTCAGGACAATATGCATCCATATTGTGTACTGTGGGCAATAACCACACAGGGAAGATTTAAGGTGGTAGGAACGATACTGAAAGGGCAGCTGGGAAATGCCAGCTTCTGCCACAGCCTTGCTGTGTGACCTTGGGTAAGTCTCTTCCCTCTCTGGGCACCAGTTTTCACATCTGGAACATGCAGATTTGGGCTAACTGGGGAAGCTTCAAGCTCTGACAGTCCTGTCTGCTAGGTGCTGGAGTTCACTTTGGTGGTCTGAAGAGGGTGTCCTCCAAGATGGGGCCCAGTGCCTCACCCCCCTCCACTCCCGCCCCTACAGGCTACATACACGAGTGCCCCTCCCCACAGCCCAGCTTGCACTGACCTGTACCTCCCGGGTCAGGGCCAGCTCCAGCAGCTGGCCAAAGTGCTGGCCCAGTGTGCTCAAGGTTTCACTCACACAGGCCTTCATCGACTTCAGGACGTGCTCATTCTCCACCTGGAGGCACCTGGGGAAAAGAAACCATGGAGTGGACCACTGGACGGGGCAGGTATTCAGCTCAGAGCCATTGCAGAAGTCAGATCTGGGCCTGTCGCAGGCCTGGTGATAATGTGAGTAACCTAGGAAGAACTCATCAGCTCCAGGGGAGCCAGAGATGGAATATTCAATAGCTTGCTTGTACTCTGGCCGCCTCGTGTTCAGAGAAGTGCTGGCCAGAAATGGGACCTAACAGTCCATGTTCCTAGGAAGAAAGGCCATCAGAAAGTGATCAAATCCATACCTCTGAGCTTCTCCTTGAGAGGAGTGAGCCCAGTGCTCACTTTCAAAGTGTATGGCAATACCTGTGACCTTTAAAAAATGGCTATCTCAGGGCACCTCAGTGGCTCAGTTGGTTGAGCATCTGACTTTAGCTCAGGTCAGGATCTCACAGTTCATGAGTTCAAGCCCAGCATTAGGCTCTGTGCTGACAGCTCAGAGCCTGGAGCCTGCTTTGGATTCTGCGTCCCCCTCTCTTTCTGCCTCTCCCCCTACTCATGCTGTGTCTGCCTCTCTCTCTCAAAAATAAATAAACATTAAAAAAAAAATTTTAATGGCTGTCTAGGGGCACCTGGGTGGCTCAGTCAGTTGAGCCTCCTTCTCTTGGTTTCAGCACAAGTCATGATTCCAGGGTCATGGGATCGAGCCCCTTGTCCAGTTCCAAGTTGAGCATTGCACCTGCTTGGGATTCTTTTTTTCTCTCCCGCCCTCTGCCCCACTCCCCCTCTTTCGCACTTGCTCTCTCTCTCTCTCAAATTAAAAAACCAACCAAAAAAAAAGTTAAAAATTTTCTCCCCAGGCAAGAAGAATATGGGGTGGATCAGGTTTAAATTTACCCCTGTGGCCTGAGAATGTTCCACTGGAAGGGCAAAGACCCCCTGGGGGTGCTGGGGGATGCCAAGCCCTATGTTTCTCTTGCAGGGCATGGGGTTGGAAAAAGTAAGGGAGAGTGTTAACATACACCTGGGTGTGTATACATGTGAGGCTGAGTGTCTGTATGTGTCTGAGTGTAAACGTATATATGTTTATGTGTGTGAGATACAGAGAAAAGAGTGTGAGTGTATTTCTGTGAATGCACGAGTGTGTGTTTATATATCTGTGTATGGGCAGGTACGTGTCTGTGAAATCCTTGTCTGTGTGTATGTGAGTACAGGGTGTGAGTGTTTGCTTTCACCTGGCCTTGACTTTGGGGGTAGAGTGGGGGCTTCCCAAAGCTATGGGAAACCTCTTCCTTTTTCTTTTTTACCAGCCCTCAATAATCCTCTTACTTTCTATGCCTGGGCCTCTCTCTTCTTCTACATTCTCCTTGGACCTTAAAATGGGCAGAAAATCCCAAGGGAGTCTTTCAAGGTTGTTGATAAGCGTCAGCAAAAGGAAACTCTCAGACTACCATCAGGCCTTCCCACTTTCACTCTCCCTCTGGAAGAAGATGCCAGCCCCTTCCTGTGCCTGAAGGCAGGCTGTCCAGTCTTACCCAGCTTCCAGATTTACCTCTCTGTGACCACTGAGAGCTCTGAGCATTTCTCCATTAGCAGTTTCTCAATCTGTAGAAGAAATAGATCAAGTTTACTCAATCCAACAAGCATTGGTTGAAGATCAACAACTATATGGGGCCTTCTGGGGTATAAAGATGAAGAATCAAATCATCTGATTTTGCAAATAGATACATAAACTGTAACACAGTGTTGTATGGATGGCAAAAGACACCATCATCAGCTGTTTGAGAGCTCAAAACAGAAAACAAGCACTTAGTTAATGCTGGGGGATCTAAGAAGCTTCAGAGAGCAAGGGACATTTGAGCTGGGCTTCAAAGGATGAATAGAAGTTTACTATCTGTAAAGTGGGACAAGGAAAAGGGTAAAGCACTAAGATGGGAAGTGAAAGCCAGAGGGGGATTTTCACTGGTTCACTATGGGCTTGGAAAAGATTCAACATCAGAGGCTTTGGAATCAGAAAAACCTAGACTGAATTCTTCTTACACCACTCACTGCATAACTCTGGGCAAAGTACTTAGGATTTCTGGGTTTGTTTCCTCATGTATAAAGTGAGGACAATAATACTAACTAATATTTTTCATCAACTATTTTAATGCATTAGTCCTCACAACACAACTATGAAAAAAAATACTATTATTATACTCATCAGGGTGATGGACCTGGGGCACAGAGAAGGTAAGTAACTTGCGAAGGTCACACAGCAGGGCTGATATTTGAACCCAGACAGTCTGACATTCCAGTGGGTATACTGAACCACTGTATGGCTTCTCACAGTGGTTATGTCTGCTTCTCATGCAGTACAGGTTAAATGAGATGTGTGCAAAAACACCTAGCTCGATGCCTAGTGCATGGTAGGTACTCAGTAAAGGTCCTCACTCTCTTCCCTGATTTTTGGAAGGAGGAGGAGGCCCTGCAGCAGGAAAAGTTCAAACTCCACACACTTCACACCCACTCTTCTAGAAGGTACCTCCCTTCCAAGTGCCCGCGCACGCCCAGCCCCGGGCAGCTGACCTGGCCCATCTCCTGCGAGGAGCTCCTGCTGACAGCGCTGTACTCGCTGACCATGGAGCGGGCATGGCAAGTCAGACGCACACTCATGCTGTGGACGCGTGCCCAGCGGTCCTGGGCCAGCTTCTGCCCGATCCTGCGCAGCTCAGTGCTGATGACCCAGCCCCTCTTGAGAAGCAGCTGCAAGGGGTCTCCGGGGCCAGGGCCGCCGGCCAGGATGAGGTCACTCTGTGCATCTTCCTCCAGGCTGATGGGCTTCGCCTGCAGGACGCACATGCACTCACACTCGGTCATGAGCTTCAGGTCCTCCATCCAGCGCTGGACCGAGTCCACCTGCATCAGGTGCAGCCTGCAGCCGGGAACAGCGCCACGATGGCTGTCAACACTCCACGATTTCCAAAGGTTTCCGTTTCAGGCCATCTGATGTTGACTAAACATCTACTCTATGCTCATCACTGTTTCTTGTGTTCACTTACCTTAACCCTCTTATTTTCCATTATCTCCAATTTGCAGATAATAAGACTGAGGCACAGAAGTCTGGGGAGCAGATGACCGGACAAACAACAGGCAATGAAGTCTGGCACAGTAGCAGATGATATTTACAATAAGAAGAAAATGGAGGGGCGCCTGGGTGGCTCAGTCGGTTAAGCGTCCGACTCCTGATTTCAGCTTAGGTCATTATCTCTCGGTCCGTGAGTTCACGACCCACGTCAGGCTCTGAAGAGCCTGCTTGGGATTCTCTTTCTCCCTCTCTCTATCTGCCCCTCCCCTGCTCTCTCTCTCTCTCTCTCAAAATAAATAAATAAACTTTTAAAAAAAGAAGAAGCAAATGGAAATAGCCTACATATCAAATATTGGTTATGTTGTTACGTAAGCTATCGTACAGCTACACGGCTATCTAGATGGTATGCACTTATTGGAAATAATGCTTTCAAAGGGTGCTCCAAAACTAACATGATTACAAAGGGGATAGAGAAGCTGGACAAACATACGATCATTGTGTTCTAGAGATAGAGGATGGAAGCAACCTGACAGAAGAGCTTCTAAGAGGCAAGGAACAAACTAGTCACTCACTCACTGACGCATTCACTCCATAAACACTTAGCGGACAGCTATTATTTCTGTCCTTCTAGCAACCTTCCTCCTCCTTCTGTCAATAACAAAGGCAAGTTACACTGCTGCCTCCTGGTGAGACAGCCCAGGCTTCAGCTGTTCTTTCCTCCCAAACATGGGGGTTATGAGCTGCTGAATCACAGCACCTGGGACCAGCACGTGGCACAGAGGAAGTGTGTGGTGCTGGGCAGGGAAAAGCTCTGGACCCCTCCAGCGGGACACACTCACACCCCCTTCCTTCAGGCCTGGACCCGAAAGAGCCATGTAAGAGCTAGGAAGGGAGAAAAAGAGAATCGTGCCACCAAATGCCTCTGGGCCGGGCCCTTCCCGGGAGGCCTGATTAAATCCCAGACTCACATTTTTGTCACCCCTTCCACTCCCATCTCACACGGAGGCATACTCTATTCTCGTCCTTTAAGATCTTTAAGAATTAGAAAGAAAGTGGGAATTCAGAAGCTGTGTTAATTAAAATCCTAGTTGATTTATCGCTTGGCTGGTAAGAGAAATGGAATGACAAAACTATTGATTTCTCTAGTATCTGTGTTATTTGTGCCTATGAGTGTCTGTGTTTGTGGATATGAACTCATTTGGGTGTCTGTCTATATTATCTGTATGCCGATGTCTGGGCGTCTGGCTTGGAACTTGCATATCTCTACCTGCGCAAATAGTGAGCTGATTGTGCGTGCTTACAAGCCTTGCATCAGAGAAACTCGATGACTAAGAACAGCTTGGATGGGGCTTGAGCGTGGGCTGCATTTCATGACTCAATTCCAGAGAAGAAAAGTATAGACAAAGTAACTTCGCGGTGGAGAACCCTGATACATCACCACCCTACTCAAGTGATCAAAACGCACCTCACTGCTGACCAGCCATGCTGACAGCATGTGCTTCTGATATGATGCGATGAGAAGGGCTTCTTCCCCCAAAACACATAAACTTAGTCTCATCATGGGAAAGGCATCATGGACCGACTGAGGGACATTCTACAAAATAGCTGACCAGTACTCCTCAAAACTGTCAGCATCATCAACAACAAGGAAACACTGAGAAACTGTCATAGAGTAGAGGAGACAAAGGAGACGTGATGATTAATTATAACAGGATATCCTGGATGGAATCCTGAAATAGAAAAGCACCTTCGTGGAAAACTAGTGGAAGCCGTATAAAGTCTGGGGCTTAGTTAATAGTAACAGACCAATAATGGTTCTTCCACTGTGATAAATGTACCATGTTCGCTGAAGGTGTTAGCAATCAGGGGGACTGGGTGTGGGGTATACAGGAACAGTCTGTTCTATCTTTGCAACTTTCTGTAAATCCAAAACTATTTAAAAATTTTAAGTTTCTTTATAAAAAAAAAAGTGATGCTTGGGGAGAAATGTGGACTCCAGCTGACAGGTCTGAGGGTTCCTTATTTCATTTCCCCCTGGAGGAACTGCACTTCTGTTGCTTCTTCCCCAACCAGAAGCACAGGCGGAGACCGGATGTCTCTCTGGCGTTGTGTCATGAGCCTCACGGAAAGGAGACCTAGAGAAGCCAAGCCCCAGTGGACACATGGAACCTGGCCAAGGAGCCAGGAGTGGAAAACTCCCTCAAAGAACCTGGAAGTGGAAGGAAATGGGGTCCCCAGTTGGGCTAGGGGATGAAAGCTGTTCTCGGATGAAGGAGCATGGCAGACCTGATGGGCTCTGTCTTCCAGTTGGTCCCATGATCTGCCCTGGATCCCACCAACAGGTGCATCCCAGGCAGGCCTCCGGGGTCCGCATCATCCGTGCTTAGCTACCTCAGGGACATTCGCTCTGGCGGAGTCAGGCCTTCAGATGGCCCATGATGATCCTGCTCCCTCCTCAGCTGCCTGAATAGGCTTTGAACCAGAGCTTCCTTGGGTTGGAACAGACTACTACATAAGAGCCTTGAGCATAAGAAAATGCCCAGGCCAACAAGGCTTGCACATTAACATGTGGAGGGCATAAAGAGCTGGCTCTGATGCTTATAATCTGTGTGGCTGAAGGCAAGCAGCTGCTGTTTTTTTTTCTTTTTCTTAATTTTTTTTGAGATAACATATGTACATAAAGATGAACAAATTATATCGAGCTGCAGTTTGATGAATTTTCATAAGGTCAACACACTCATGTATCCAGGAACCAGATAAGAAATATCACCAGCATCCCTGTAGTCTCCCTTGTGCCCCCTTCTGGTCACTCCCCAACCAGGATAACTGGTATCCTGACTTTTTTTTTTTTTAACAACGTACATTAATCTTTTCATTACATTTCTTAACCTCTCTGAGCCTCAATCTCTTTATCTGTAATAATATAATAGAAGCTTCCATATAAGGTAGATGAGATAATTAAATCAAATGGTGAATGTGAAGGACTTAGGACATCACATGGCATAAAGAAATGTTCAAAAATGTTAGTTCCCTTTGCTTCCCTTCCCCCATGTAACGCTTGAACACCTACAGTAATTACTGTAAAAATGGCTAGAATTTATTGAGTACATTCCACATGTTGAGCACTGTGCTAAGTGCTTTACATGAGTTGTTTTAAAATTTTTTTTTCAACGTTTATTTTTTTGGGGGACAGAGAGAGACAGAGCATGAACGTGGGAGGGGCAGAGAGAGAGGGAGACACAGAATCGGAAACAGGCTCCAGGCTCTGAGCCATCAGCCCAGAGCCTGACGCGGGGCTCGAACTCACGGACCGCGAGATCGTGACCTGGCTGAAGTCGGACGCTTAACCGACTGCGCCACCCAGGTGCCCCATGAGTTGTTTAATTTACTCTTCAAGACAAGTGTCTGAGCAAGTATTATTATTGTCCCCATTTTACAGATGAGGAAACGGAGATGCAAGGAAGTAAAATCACTCAGGGAAAAAGTAGTAGCTCTGACACTGAAACGTTATCTCTATCACTCCAGAGTCTACACTTAACTCCTTTGTTTTACTGCTTCCCACTCTGGCCACCCATCAAACCAAAACCAAAACACACACACACACAAGAAGGAGAAGGAGAAGGAGAAGGAGGAGGAGGA